TCTGTATCAAGTTCTTTGGGTTCTTTGTTTTCAGAATCACTGTGTTTTCCAATTCTACATGAATTCCTTGTTCTGCCAGTTCTTGAAAATCATTGTTGGTAAGGCTCTCACCAGAAACTTGCAATAACTCCTCAAAATCCTGCTGTATTGATTAGGTTGACTATTTGGTCAACCTAATTGATAAGTAATAGGCTCTACTCGTTGAGAATTCTTGGATACCTTCAGCCATAACTTCTTCCACACTTCATTCATGCATTTATCAGTTAATTCTTGCCAAGCAAAGTTGATATTTCCTATGGCATCCATGATGTTATATTTTTTCCAAAATTGCACCAAACATAGATTTAAGAAAAGTACAGCGCTACGACGAATTTCCACCTTTTGCTGATTGGTTTGTGTTCGGGAATTATATATGAATCAATGAAATTCCGCGATAATTTGAATCAACATAAATTCTGAGCTTCCTTTTAGGCTTCGAGCAGACCGCGTTATATCGAATCAGCGTTAAGCGGGGTCTTACTGTATTTACACAAAGTACTTTATTCACCTGTAATACTAAAACACGTCACATGCAAACACGTTACGAATGTTGCAGTTAAAATTATATTATTTAAAGTACTAACCGTATAATTCTCCAATAACCACGTCATTATTCGCTCCATCACACATTTTATAATAAAAATTATTCAAAAAATATCACTTAAATGTTATTTCTTTAGCATATTTAAATCCTATTGTCTAAGATATTTAAATTTGAAAACGATTTGTTTATAAACTGCTCCAGTGTTAAAAGGCTAAAACCTTGACGTAAGAAAAACGTGTACAAACTTCCGCCCAAGTATAGCACAATTTAAAATTACGTCATATTAGTTTTAGATTATATCCAATTAAAAATTATATTTTATATTTTACATAGAAAATTAATCAAATATTCTAAAATATATTTAATACGATGAAAGTAAATGTATGATTAATTTTTATAATAAATTTCGGAGCATTCGGATGTTGAAGAAAACTGTCAGTAGGAGCGCTGTTGTTGCTGAAATAGAAGCGATGGAAGTTCGTTAACTTAGCGCCACGACTTGTTTATCCGCTACCATTAATATTTTAAACAAATTATAAAAAGTATAAGGTATATTTAACACAGATGTTGATAATTATAACAGATACAATGGCGAAGTACATTTCGTGGCCGGATATACAGAAATAGCCGTTTCGCTTTCTATATAAACATGTAACGCTAACGTAGGCACAGCGATTAATTAAAATACTTTCCAAGCTTAAAATACTCGAGTGAAATTGACTCGGGATAAATCAAAAGAAATAACAAAGGATAGTCATACTGCTTATTTAAAAACAATAATGTACGATACAGTCAAAATCCGAAATTTGTTTAATCTAAATTTATTTACTTCTAATTATTAAATTTAACACTAGATGGCAAAGTAACCGCTTACTTTTAGCCAAATTTCTTAATTCCTTAATAATTAATTAGCCTAATAAAAAATCCAGTTATTCGCTTGATATTTAAATATCAGAATAATTGAAATTAAAATTCTAACATTAACAAATAAAAGAAATATGATATCGTTATATTATTTTTTTACTCAGAGATCATATTTACATTGTTTTTATTCTTTTTTATTCGACCAATTTTATTCAAAAATATCGAAAAATATCGATTACCACAGTCTCTGAACTCAATCTATTACAATTGTGTTCGGTTTCAAAATATACAGATTTTAAATAAAACAAATGAAATTACCGTCATTTCTAACAATTTTAAATAAATGATAAATAATGTTTCTAATGCAAGAAAAGAATAATAAATTTCTGTTAAAACGACGTTTGAAAAGTCATTTTGCATTTTCTAGTGCTTATGCTTTTATAGTATTTCATACTATTGATAATTTATAACAAAAAATGTTATTGAATTTTTAAACTTTTTGTTTATATTTCATCTGAAAAATTAAAGCCTTAAGTTTCTTTTTTTTTTTTTTTTTTGTAATTTTTAAAATTTAACAGATTTAAGATAATAAAGCTTAAAAATAAATTACACTTAGATCAATCAATTACTTCTTCAAAAATTTTTTTGGAAGTAGGATACCCTTAAATAATCCCAAATGATGGCCTACAGAAACTTTTCAACCGTTTACAATTACATTCCTCAAAAGCGAAATCGCAACATTACAAAGGAATGCGCGTAACAACATGCATATTGCAGGACCAGTAGAGGTGACAGAGATATGCAAATGATTGTTTGCATATACATCGGGTCGTGTAGTATCCAGTTTCGAGCTAAAAAGATCAGCAGCCGACACAAGCCGTAACTGCTATCAGCGACGGTGATTTCACATACAGTATAAAAGAGTTTCTGGCGAAGCTTCCGGGCAGCATTAAACTAAATACTTTTTTGATTAAATTTTCTTTTTTAAATTTAATTAATTGAACGTAATTCGAAAATAGAACGACAGAAATACTGATCGTCAACGCCGAATCCCGATAGTTAAACGCTTTGTTACATGCAAATGTTTTATTTTAAAATACAAGCAAAGAAACAAAATGGTTTTTATCCAACGACATATAACTATTAGACCTCAAATCAAATAAAAGTTAACGCCGCCATCTGAAGCCAAAGAAACTAGTCGCCGCCATAACAGTCTCAGGCAAAAAGTGCATATGCTTTGGACGGATTGTTGTGTGCCGACTTATGGTAGCCATTTCTGGCGTAATTGCTATTTATTTTGACTCGAGTGTGCAGGAATTGTCACATGAGCGTAACAGGAATACCATTAACTTGCCGCGCAGTTAATTGTATGACAAGGTATTAAAAAAAAATTCGATATCACGTTTCACCGATAAGCTAGATATAGGCCTAGTTGCTCTGATACTATTGTATATCGTCGATCGGCGATCGAAATCACGCAACTCCTTCTGAAGAAAATTTTCTACAGAAACATTATACTTCCTTCAGATGTCCGTTATTACCCTATGTTGTTTAATTAATTTTTTTTATATGTTGAACTAAGTTTAACTGGAGACCTACGAGAGTTTTATAGACCACGGAAAACGCGTTATCCACAATGCTGTAATTCAAGTTTCAGCAAATATTGCAGTTACGAGATTTTGATCGCCGACCAATGATATGATATCGTTTTTTGTACGTAAAACTGTCTCACGATGGATAGCTTGTCGAGAGATTTCCTAAAAATAAGCAATACTTCGGCCGATGTATTACTTTCATAATACTTTGGTTGACCGATACTCTGTGACAAATGGAAACCGAGCAATAGTAGTGTTCTTTGCATTCGGCACTTTGAACCTAACTGTTCCTACACACAGAACGGATATATCAATTTGCATGAAACATCGGTTCGTACAAAGTTTAATTTTCCTCAGCATCTGCAGACAGTCAGTGGTGCCAATGCCACGAAAACCACTAAAGCGAATGTCTTTCGCTAACATAGATGGATGATACCTATGATGAGCGGAGTGTGCCGCAGCAAATAAATAAATAAATAAATTACCTATTTCACCTCACCATTGGTTCTTCCCATCCGTATCATTGCTGTTTTATTCAGATGAAGCTCAAATGTCTGATCTACAACATCAAATAATCAGGCTCATCGTGACGTTTCTGTAAGACAAATATTCATAGAACTTCTTTATTTTAAAGGTCAATAAATTGCGTTTATTGATGAGTTACTGCATTTGAGAATATTAATATGAGGCTCTCCATAAATTACGTTCACATTTTTCTTCAAATTTTTACTCCCCCTTCCCCTCTTGTCCCAATTTTTCCAAGTTTCCTTAACCGAAGAAGGGGTTACGCCCGGCCATCCGGTTATACCTACTTCATAATTAAAAAGCAGATAAATCCCTATATCGATTTTTATTAGTCGCTTAGATCATAAATGATATTATACTGTGTAAATGCAAGAATATCGAACACATTTCTCACCCCTCGAAGTAAATCGCCTTGGAAACTGGACATTCGAACTCTGTCTAAACCGACCTCTGTCCAAACTACCGTTCATAACAAGTTTCATCTTTCTTTGTCGTTTCTTGACGAATTAATAATTAATTAATTTACTAGTGTATACGTGTTGTCGTAATTTTTGTGTCATTTAAAGTGACCAATCCGTTTGCTATTTAGAATTCGATTAAAATGATATTTTTACAGTTGCAAAGATAAATAATTAACTGTATATATACTCACTAGTCAGTATTTTAATTATATATGCCACGTATACTGTCTCTGATAGAACAATATATACTGATATTGGAAATATGAACATTAAAAAAAAAACTGTTCTTTTTGTGACACGTATGTACTCGTAATCAACTTGTAATCAACTTTTAAATACTTTATACACTGATAAATTGGAAGTGGGTAAACATTATACAAACTTGTCTAGAATCTGGCACAAAGCTACACCACTCCAATTATTCGACAATACAAGCTTTTCACGTTTAATTTTAAACTAAAGTAGTAAAATAACGACAAGTTTTTGTGATCTTGAAATAATTGGAAGCAAAATCAAACAAAAGTGTTTATTAGACAACGAAAAGTATTTACAGAGACAATTTGTATTTTTTTAATATTATTATTCTAGTCGCATTTAATCATTTATCAAACTTTCTTTGTATAAAGATGATTAATTTAGAAGTTTTGAAAATTGATGCAATGCCAGAACTGTGGAGAGAACATCTTCCCGAAGCATTCTTAGATTGATTAAAATTCCTTTCTTTTGCAGCTGCACTATGCACGCGTTTAATTTAATGTGATTCGAATGAATCCATGTTGTTTCCTTGTCGATAATTTTCGAAGTCCTTTCTCTCGAACTCTCCGAATGCTTCTTAATCATAAAAGTTCAGGATCAGAATCCGTAATCTGAAAACTACAAACAATGCTTAGTTATATTTATTTAAAATTTGTTATTTCTTAAGAATAAATCCACTTACCATTTCATGAAGTGTATCTTTTAATATTTCAGAAATCTTGTTTTATTTATTTTTCAAAACCGTGTCTACTTTTTCTTGTTTTGTTTGGTTCAATGTCACCACTTGGTGAATTTATTGACACTTGGCAAATAATTTCAACATCAACAAAACAAACAACGGACACAATTATGGAAAGCCGAAATTCGGGTAGACACAATTAGAAATTCAAATTAGAAGAGTCACAATCAAAGTAAAGACAAGGTTCGAGAGGACGCAATTGGAAGTCAAAATTGGTGAAGTCACAATCCAGTTAAAATCAATAATCGAGACGTCACAATCGGGATATAATTAAAATTATAGTCAAAATCGGGATAACGTCAAAATTAAGGAAGTCACAATTGAGTTAAAGTGCCATAATCGAGATAAAGTCAAGTTCGAGGAAGCCACAGTCGTTAAGTCCATATAATTAGAAGTATTCAAATCATTCTCAATACAGGTGAGCAATTCCATTAATCAAGAAATATATTTTAAATTTCAAATTTTTAAATTTTTTTTAAATTGAAAACGAACAAACACAAACAAAACAATAAACATAACAAATAAAGAAAACAGTGTATGTACACTGCGTAGAGATGAAAATCTCTAAATTTCTTCTAAAATCTGTGAAAATAAAATGAAAATAATCAATATTTTTATCTAAAATATTCAATTATTTAAATAATTTTTAAATCAGTAAGTTTATTTCCTTCTAAAAACAATTATACACGAATCAAGCGAAAATTATTCAGTGCATAATTGTTAATTCGCTACTATTGTGTCATTTATTATGATTCAAATATATTATGATTAATTTGATTACTTTAGAATCTTCGTGTACTCATATTCACATAAACTTGCTGAATATTTTAATCTTTACTCCCATTTATGCTGTTACTTTCCTATGTTACGAGACTAGTACACTTTCAGAATATATTTCTGTCGATACTTGGACAAAAATATACATATACTGTATATATGTATTTCTAATGCTTTAAAAGCCTAGCCTAGTCTGTCTATATGTAAAATCTGAATCGTATGAAGAACATAATGTATCTCCATGTTAATACACGTTTCCTGTTCTCCTGTTACCTGGCCATTGTGTGTTGGTGGTACATTGGGGATATAAATGGTGTTTAATTTATAAGTTGATAGTGGAAAATCTCGTAAGTGCTGAGTATAAAATATAAAAATATTCCGATTAAACACTTACCCGAGACGAAGTCGGACGAAATCAAGCAGATAAATCCTATACTTGATTCAATGATGGAGAAAAAGAGATCCTTATTCAAACTGAACGTATTCAGTTTCTCCAGTCTTCATGTTTTTCCACACCTTTTGCGCTGATCTGGAATGTGAAAAACAAGTTTAAATTATTTATTGAAAACCTATATCTGAATATGAATTTTATCAAAACATATCGAGAGCGCAATATCGATGTTCGGCTGTATTTATGTTGATTAATTGTAAATGTTATATTATATCAAATTGAGAATCAAACACTGTTATATTTATTCATTCTAAATGATAATCTTTCAGCGATATTTTAAATTCAATTTTACTATTTTAAAAGCTTTATAATTATTGGGCTGCAATTTGGAAAAATTGTACTACAATATAAATTTCCTGTATAAAAAATTGTAGCCCGACATTGTGATTATGTCACAATAAATAATTGCTCGTTATTATTGTTTTCATTTGTAGCTTATCTTTTCATTGGATTAGAAATGAAACTAGTTTGGTAAATCTCGATGTAGCGCCAAAAATATAGGAAAGTTATGCCATTCTCATAAAAATTACGAAGGTTTCAAGCTCAAATCTCTGTGTACATCTTAATACTGTGTATAATTGTTGCTGTTTGAGATACTTTGGATTAGCATCATATTGGATTCAGTGAGAATTGTAACGGCGAACGAATGACTGAGCTAAATCGAACTTTGTTTGTACTGACATATACAGAAACTTACCTCTTGACTGGTTTCCATACTGCCTTGAAGAAAGATCCGGCTTTTTTCAATGCCTTTCTATCTCTAATAGCACATCCAATGGTATATCCAATAGAATAGCCAATATTATATCCAAAACTATTCTCCGTGCTATCCTCTTGCTTTCTGAAGTCTTTATTCACTTCGATCTTTGTTGGAGGAACCATAACGTTATTATTTAATCCATGCTCCTCCTTATCTTCAACCAATCGCCCACTAAAAGTGGAAAGAAAAAATTTACAATGCAATAAATACTTGCAAAATTAATAGAGAAATTATAATACATTACTTGGTAATTGTTTTATCTAACCTTTCGCAAAATTTTCCATTATATAAGCAAATTATCGCTTAGAGATTCGCGGTATTAAAGTTATTAGTATTTTGTGTAATGTGGGCCACCCGTAATTCGAATTCAAAATTCATTACTTGTATGTAATTCTTCTCTCTGAGATTTTTCGGTTTAGTGCCAATCTCTCAAGGGAACACTGGTGCTCTATCGAATTTTAATTATATATAGAGGAGGTGCGTGTGACTTAACGATGGACCCAATAACATCACGACAAAGATCCATAATTTTTAATGGAGTCGAAGAATATGTAGCCACCTGTACCTTTTCTACGTGTAGATAGGTATATATATAATTATCATCATTGTGTTACACATATGGAGTGACCATATATTCATTGCCTAAACAAGGAGAGTTTTGAAGAATGAGTGAAAAACGTGTCTAAAAATGATTAAACTTAATTTTAAAAATTCAGCAACGAGTTGCTTAACTTTCTCCGCAACATTTGGTGGCTTCATCTGTTATGATATTTTATTAAAAACTTTTTATATTTTTAACTATTGTGAAATTGTAAAAAGCTTAATTTTGGTAGGAATTTTAAGGGTAGGAATGGGTTTTATAAAAGATTTGTAAATGCTAACAAAGAGTAAAATTGTCATTAGGTCTGACCCTACTAGAGATAAGACACATGATCCCTTTTATCTCCCCAACCCTCGACCTTTAATTAACAACCAAAATTTAATAGCATCGATTTTCTTAGTACACAATTTAAATTTAATTAATTATCATTTGCACCGAGCAATTTCTTTTTAAAGCCATTAATTTTTCGAATAACTTTCTTATTTGCATAAATATCAATAAAACGTAAAAAATTTATTACCCCAAAGGTGAAGGCAAGGGTCGATAATCGCTAGAATCAAAAAACATTTTTCAATCACTCGAAATCGCACTCTTCGCAATAAAAGAGCAAAACAATGAAAGATCAATTGTTGAGTTTCATTGTTACGCGTTAATTGAAGAAAAAAATTTTAATGATTAATTTTTTTTATTTTTGAATATTACACACAGACAGGTGTGCAATAATAATTAAAGAGTGATGATCGTGGCAGTAAACGCCTCGGTTCACCTCTATGAAGGAGTCAGAATCAAATTCGGGCGAGCAAGTCTCCAAGAATTTTTCATGAAAGCTCTGTCCCAGTTACATTGAGCCCCGTTCTTCACCATTGTGGGTATGGTCCAACCCCCAGTAAACAGGATTGAAGGCCTTTTAGAGTTGCCCAACAGTGGCCGAGTGGAAAAACCACTGAACATTTGAAGTTTTTCGATAGTTTGCGCCTGGCCAACAAGCTGACAACATAGAATTTTCCGGGTTTTCTTTATGTTTGTAACACCTAAATAGGGGTCAGTTTTCCATCGAACTTTCTCCCGAGAGGCACTCCTCTTTTCCTGTCGTATTGCCATATACAACTAATGTAATTCTTTTTAATGTTCACATGGCAAAAAGAGTAATATTATTAATGACAATAGCTACATCTGAACCTGCATCTGTGCAATAGTATTACTGTATGCAGTATTGCTGTTGAAGGCAGTTCATTAATCAATCATTTTACAACTAACTGTTATTCGCGATTCATATTCAGTATTTCAACAACTATAGTAATTCGTATGTAACACCTACGGCTGAGAATGATGAGAATTACTGAGAATCAAACGAATTATATTCAATTTGATCAATTTTCTGGAACGTTTACAATCGTTCTATAATCGAACCAATAACAAATTTGAATTTAAAACGGTTCGAACATTTGGTTAAAAAATCGAAATATTTGAAAATATTTATAACAATGTCTGAAGTATTATCAATTTAATACACCTAAATACTCAATGAAGACTAAACTTAGTTGAAAACAAAAAATCGCATATAAAATAGTACAGTAGAAGCCGTTTTTCAGGTTAAGTGTTAATCTTTTCCTCTGCCTTCGCGAGGGGAATTTCAAAAACTCTTTCTTTAGTGTGCGTTTTCATGACGTACCGTAACTGTTTACAAAATTTTACCTCTTTAGGTTCAGCGGTTTTCTCTCGGCGGTGATGAATCAATCAGTTAGTCAGTCAATCACTCAGCCAATCAGTCAGTCAGTCAGGACAAGTAATTTTGTATATTTAGATTGTAGAAAAAATGAAAGAAGAAAAAGGAAAAGCAAGATTTATAAAAAAAGATAGAATCTTTCTTTAAGAGACGGTATTTTATTATAATCTAATCGATTTTAAACAGTATTTTAGACTTACAAGAGAATCTTTTGAAGGTCTACTTAAAAAATAGATCTAATTTTAGACACAAAAAATTACTGACTTTGGAAGACGACCTGTGTCTCTTTAAAAGCAGTTTTTATGCTGCTTATGGACGTTGGCAAATCGAGAATCATTCAGGTTTGTTTATAATGTATGAAATCAGATACAGTAGGTGATTAATTAACGAACATAATCCGTTCCAAGACTTTGTTCGCTATCCGAATTGTTCGTTAACCGATTATCGATTTACCATAGGTTTTTATGGGAATTTGATTAATTCGTTCTGGAGACCTCAAAAAATAAAAAAATATATACTTTCTTACTACATTTGTTTATATGTAACTAGCTTACCCGTCGCGCATTGCTGCGATCTCAGAAGAAACGAAATTCAAGCAAACTCGTTATGATAAAATTCAATTTACATTTTATTATTTTTATTGAAACTTATTATTATTATTCATTTTCATCGGGAAAACATTTCAAAGTGTCGTTTCAATTCTATTTATTTATTGGAGTGTTAGTGGATACACGATATTTTTTGTTTTTCCCTCTGGTGTGTACACGAATAAATCGGAAGGTTTTTCGACGCGTGAGCCGGCCACATACAGTTGTCCATGCGAGAAGCACGGATTCTCCAAATTTAGCCCACACACT